GGCGTCGGCCAGGGCGCTCGGAGGCGCCGGCCACCGCGTCCGCGCCGCGGAGCTGGCCGCCGGGGCGCGGCGAGCATGGAGAAGTTGGCGAGGTGAGTCGTGGCAGCCCCAGAATCCCGTCTGGGGACCCGTGTCTCACTCCCTCCATCCGTGCCAAGTCCAAGGGAGGCTTTGGGCCGGAGGAGCAGACTCCAAGTTCACCCACGGGCTTCCCACTTCTATCTCTTACCCTTTTAGATACGAAGAACCGCCTTCGTGGAGTCCTGACAGCGCAGTGCTGATAATCATGTACAGTTTTGAAAGAGAAGTGTCAGGGAAAGTGGTTTGTATATTACGTTTTTTAACTGTCAAGGCAAGGCGTATTTTTGCTTTCTTGCAAACATGCGCTCTTTGTTTAATTTTTCAAAAGCCATCATGATGCAAGAATGCTTTATCTAATTCTCATGTTTCACTGGATAATTTTTACCAAAAACTTAGATCTGATTGAGTTGGAAAGTTAGCTGTTTACCAAAGACTGGCTGCGTCTCATTAAACCTCCAGTCGCCCTGTGCTTAGAACAGAAGAGGCACTCGACCTAAGTTCATTAACATAAGTTTCTCCTTGGAGCGAGTGATGCGTGGCACGGGAAAGACAGAGTGGGGGGTTTCCCTGTTCCCTGTTCCTCATTCTGTTTCAGACTCAAGTGTAGTCCAAGAGTCCTACAAGGGAAACGTTTTAACCTTCGACATGATGTTGATTTTCTCTGCACAAAGCTTAACGCGCTGCCGCTTTTCGTCCGAGTGTTTTATCTTTGCCCTTGGGGTTGCTGGAACGCCTGCAGGTTAGGGATTTGCGTTCGTTTCCTTTGTTGTGGAGAGCTTTTTTAACAATCCCCTGGTCTTGTAGCGGGTCTGTTTCCTTTGCCCTTTGGAAGCTGTTGGTGTTTCTAACTGCAGTTGCAACGTCTGCGCTGGCTGGGCTCCTTAATTACTTGAAATGAGTTGAAGAATTTTTTTGACCATAATATGACTAAATGCATTTTGGTGCTTTTACTGTAACTAAGAGAAAAGACACGAAACCTCAAGAAGTAGCTGTGTCAGCTTTTGTTTCTCTTCTGCCTCAAAATAAATGTACAGATGGGTACTGACAAGTTTTATGGGAAAAAACCCAATGATCTGTAGAATCGGTTTTAAGTATTTACAACCATTTACAATCCCTTGTGAATGTATACTCTTTCAAGTAAGGATATTTCTGTTAGAAACTTAATAGGATTTTCCTCTCCTATATACTGAGGTTTCTTATAATGGATTATATTACAGTTCAACTACAAGTTTACTATGATTTGTAAGTTGATGGGACAACTTGTAAGGTAATAATAACTGACATCATTTAACATAGCTAACCTTGTCCAGGCACAGTGCTGACAGCAGTACATAAGAATAGTCATTGTTAACATGTACTTTATGTGTATTAACTGTGTCATCCGCTCCATAACCCTGTGATAGTGGTTCTCAAAGTGTGGTCTTTGAACGAGCAGGACCAGCATCACCTGGGGGGGGGGGTGGTCTTGTTAGAAATGCAGATTCTCAGGCCCCACCCCAGCCCTACTATATCAGAAACCATGGGGGTGAGGTCAGTAATCTGTGTTTTAACAGCCCTCCCATTGTTTCTAATGCACACCAAAGTTTTAGAGCTTGCTCTGTGAAGTAAGTGCTAATGTTATCCCCATTTTACAGATGAGGAAAGTAAGGCACACAGTATAGCAGTTTGTCCAAGTTTCACAGATAACATGTGGTAGTTAAGGATAAAGACCCAGGCAGTGTGGGCCCAGGTGGAGCACTTACCTGCTGTGCTAATGTCATACCTGCATTTCATTATTTTTCCGAGGTTTTTCTAAAGAAACAACATAGATTTTTGCAACTGTCTGATTCTTCAAGGTGTTGGGAATGTGGGGACAGCATCTTCTTGTCTTGATCTGAATAAATTGGCTCTGACTAGGAAGAGATCATGAACAGAATCCAAATGGATGTTTTAGGGAAGGACTGTTACCATGAGCAACAGTACCTCTTGAAGCCATTTTTCTTTTGAACATATCTCTTAGATTATCATGGCAATCATGGCCAACACTATAGGACTAAAGAACAAAATTTAAAAATTCAGGAAAAACAGAAAGAGCCACAGGAAGTCTCAGGCTGAAATGCATAAACATGGAAATCTCGTGTCCTCTGGAGAAGTTGACATTTTCTGGGACTTATTAATGTTTCTTTTACTACCTGGACAGAAATGGCGACAGAAGATTCTGAAGCAGAAGGGAGCAGGAGGAGAGATCTCTGCATGGACTCCTTTATTGCTTTCCTAATCCTGCCGGGGTTAAATTTTTGTGGTTTAGGAGGAATTTCATTTTAGGGAGGGAAAAGAAAGCCTCGTGTTTTCAGAAAACGAGTGCTTTAATCTCTTGACGTGGCTAGAATCCAGAAGAGATGAAGGCCCCGTGATCTCACTTCTCGGGCCTGGGGAGTAGGCAACAGAAAGCTTGGAGTTGGATGTGACACAGTCCACCACCTGCTGACCATCCGTGGACCGGGCTGCGTTGCCTCCCCTGGGGTGCTGCTCTAAGTGAAGTTCTGCCACGTCAGCGCAGGAAGCATAGCACTCTCCTTCCACATCTTGTTTTCATTTCAGAGAAGTTTCCAGGGACTTGCCTAGTTAGCAGGCAGACCCTACAATTTTATAACTAGTCATTTGTATGCAATCTGTCCTGCAGTGGCCTGCTCCCTCTATAAATATAAAGCCGGGAGGTAAGGTCTGAGCTTTTAGGTCAAGGGTGGGATCTGAAAACGGACACCACACTGTAAGTAGGAGTTCCAGTGCACGAGAGAAATGAAATCTTCCTTCTATTTTGGTTTATTGGTGACTTATACCTGGCTGACTTCCAAAAAGAATTTGAGATGACTTACAGTAAAAAACACATATACAATAAGGCCATTGAAATAGTTATAAAAAATGAAAAGTCATAAAGAGAGGAGGGGAAAATAAGTACTGTTAGTCAAAAACTGAGGCCACTATTGTTATGAGGATTAAGTGTTAAATTTAGCTCTTAGCTTCCTGGCAGCCATGTCAAAAAGGGAATCATGATGGGCTGCCTCATTTTCGCTGAATGATAAGAGGAAAAGTTTATCGAGATGATTTGTTTTTCGTGGAACTGAATTCTAAAAGGAGAATTTTACTTGGGAATAAACTTCAAACTTTAGAAGACTGTCTTTCCAGCTTGCTTCTGAAAACTCCTCTGTGAGCCTACATATGGAAAAGGAAGTTTAATATACTGCCAATCAGTGCAATATAAAAAAGAATTTGGCATCTGGAGTCCAGAGAATTGGGTTCTAGTCCCAAGCCATTTCACCTTAATTTCCTCATCTATAAAATGAGCCAATCGATACAAAAGTTTTCTGAGATCTGTTCCAGCTCTGAAATTTGATGATCCTGTGATGAGATCATCAAGTTTAGCTGCAAAATCCCAACAAGGACTAGTGCTTAGCCCTTTATGCTGTCTCTTGCAAAATCACTCTGTTTCTCATTTATTGGCCCTAGCTAGAACTCTTACTGATTACACAACCTCAACCCTCTCCTGAACTTTATTCGTTTTCTCATGTGTTGGCCTGAATGTTGCTGTTTTCTCTTAAAATATGGTTTCTAAGGGAGACTTATGCTACCTCTAAGCTCTGTGGTGCTCCTCTGCCATTGTATTCCACAGTCTTTCAGCAAATGTGTATTGCACACATATTCTGGGCAGGCACTCACTCTATGATGGTGAATAGAGTTGCTGCCCTCCCAGAATTTTAGGGTGGAAGGGGAGACAATACAGAAACACGTTACACTTGGGAGCCTCCCCAGGGGCCCCAGTGAGAGGAAGTGTGCCTGCTAGCTCCTCAAGAGACACCATTTCCTGCAGTTCCTCTGAGATAAGTCTTCTCAGAGGGTTCCAGCCTGAATAAAGGTCTCACTAAAGAGGGATGATGTTAGATAACAAAATGCCGAGACTGGCCATCCTATAATTAGCTGGTAGCTCCCAGACACATTAAAGATCTCTAGATCTTGGGTACCATCTATGATATTACATCCTATGAGTCTTGATTCTATTCATACTCATTTTTGTTGATTGGTCCATGAGTCCCTCTTCCCTCCTCTACACGTACTGTATCAGTAAGCCCCAGTGGTTCTCTCTCAAAATATATCCCCACTCCCCCCATTTCTACTGCTTCTGTGGTTACCCCTGAGCTCCTAAACACCATGATTTCACACCTGGACCACTGCAGTAGCCTACTCTCTGGGTTTCTACTCTAGCGCCCTCTACAGTCCACTTTCCATACAGCTGCTGGAATAATCTTGAATATGTAGACCACGTCAAGTCACTTTGCTGGTTAAAGCCCTACAGTGATAGACTTCCCATCACACTGAGAATAAAATTCAGTTTCTTAGTGTGGCCTTCAAGCCCTTGCCTGATCTCAACCCCATTTAGCTCTCTGACCTCGTCACCTACCGCTCCCTCATCGTTCACTTGGCTTCAGCCACACTGGCCTTCAAATACACTGAGCTCATTCCTTCCTCAGCACTTTTTACTTGTTCCCTGTGCTAGAATGTTCTTTGCTCCCATCCTTGCATGGCTAGCTCCCTCACTTCTTTCGGGTCTATGCTTTCAGGTTTTCTCCTCAGAGGGATCTTCCCAGCTGACCTAGAAAAACAGAACCCTCCCCATTGTCTCTATCCTCCTATCCTGTTTATTTATTCTTTTAATAGCACTCATCATTATACGAACATTGTGTTTTATTTGCTCCTCTCCCTCTTATGTACACTTCATGTCTTATTAATCATTGTATTGCTGGCACCTGGAACAAGGATGATCTCATAGTAGGTACTCAATAAATATTTGTCGAATGAACTAATGAGTGAATGCAGCACCCACCTTGTGCCAGCACTATGCTAAGACTTACATTATTAAATTACATATTATTTAATAATATTCAAAACAATGCCATACCCTTTAGGAGAATAGTGAGGATCTTTAATAGTAACATCCTTAAAAGAGAGGGAATTTTTTTCTTTTTAATAGATTTTA